ACTGAGCCCACGAACAAGTCTTGATTGGGAAACACAAGGCATGGATGCGCTGTCGGCTGTCCGTCCGCTTCCTTCACTTTTAGCTTACACTTTCTCAGCGTGTCTTATGATCCGAAATTTTTTTCATTGTCAGAACCGGCGAACTGCCAAGTTTGTGTGAGGTACTCGGTGTTTCTGTTCCTTTCCCGCTGACGTGCATTGATACCCTGAACTATGATTATCTGTGTATCCATTGGATGTATTCGCTGTCACCACTCAATAAAGGGCTCAAAGCACCCCAAAATTCCTCGCATTTTTTTCGGCCTACCCATACTGTCTATTGGGCGGTTCTTATCCGTTAATAAGGATTCGTAATTGCCAGGCAGCAGTGTCTGTCCACGCAGGCAGGTCGTCGATCGTTCTAGAGCCTTCTTGGCGAACTCTGCATGCATTACTATCTTCTCATTGCATGCAGAGCGCATACACGGTGATCGTCGGCCGGCTACTGTAGGCATCATCGAGAGCAGTTGTAATGAAAGTCGGAATCTCGTATTTTTGATTCCAGCCTGGCACTACGCGTTATGTCCTCCATTCCCACGACAAACCAAGCTCACCTCTTTGGCAGAATTCTCTTGCTCCCATCCATCCAATCACTCAACTGGCACAGCCCTCGTTATCCTAATGACCCATGTCGACCATACGCCCTAGCCAAGCCCTCGGAATCGCAAATTCTCCTCTCCTTGCCGAGTGCATCCTCCACAACCTTGGCCTTGGCCTAGACCTCACGCTTCTAGACCTAGACCCAGCGACACAGATCGATATGCCCCGGATCCAAACCCCAGCCGCTCATTCCATTCCATTCCAATTCCCCCTCTCCCCAGCCTGATCAGTTAACCTCAGCTGGCTGCTCGAAAGACCGCACCACCCCGCAACCTGATCCGTTTCATCGGCGCGAACACCCCAACCCGCTGGGCCATGGTCTCGGCCTCGAACCCACTGTATGTCGCTTCGCCCTTGCCGATATTAAGTCTTAAAGCATGATGCGACTTGCGAGAATCCGTGACTCGAGCTGCATGTAGACGCGAGTAGATAAAGATAAAGATATAGATGTGTAGAGCGTGAGCTGTAGAGCCGTCGGAGCCGGGGAGTGAAGATGAGTGAGTGAGTTGCATCGTCTGCCTCTCCCGTCACGGGCGTGTGGACCTCAAGCGGTGCGGCGGTGAGGTGATGAGGTCCTTGATACTGTACTGCCCTGGCTAGACTGTGCATTACATCGTTGGGATAAGAGCCACCTCCGAATCCGGCAGTCTTCTACGGCTGGCTCTGTTCATCGAGGGTCCGCTCGCTGGTAGGGGTAGCAGCAGTTCTGCGGCGTACTTGCTTTATTCTAGTGATTGGGTTGCTCCATAGGCAGGTGACGGGATAAGGCCGACAATCATGTACAACTGACGGCCTAATTCAATGATCGATGCTTCTACAACTACGCTGTGGATTACTTTAGTCATTGTTCAGAGGAAAAAAGTCATGCCATTTATAGGTATAATCTAAGACTGTACAAGAAAATAATATATTTACAGCTTGGCCTTCTCGCTCTCGGCCAGCAGGTCAGGCATCAGCAGGTCCCTCAAGTCGGATGCCGCCTCGTTGAGGTAGTAGCTCATCCGCTCCGCTCCAAGGCGCTTGCAGACAATGTTGAAGTTGAGGCTGTAGCGGTCGTTAGCAATTGCAAAACACATAGACAGAAAGGGACATGGGATATACCTGTTCTCGTTGATCATATAAGCAATTCCGAATCCGTCGTCGATGACCTGGCTCCATCCGTAGCCATTGAAGAACTCGGAGCTCAGCTGGCTGGTCGACAGGTACCACGAGCCGCTGTAGGCGTAGGCGGGGTCTTCGTACAGAGCGGGCAGCTTCTCGCCCTCGCGCAGGAGCTTCTTCAGGCCGAACAGGTGACGGTCAACACCCTGACCATCGCTGGCCAAGGCAGTATACTTGGAGTGAGCCGCAAGGGCTGCGCGGAAGAAGCGCACGACCTCCTCGCGGGGGACGGAGGGGTCGGCATGGGCCTTGCAGAAAGCCACGCTCTCGTCCGAGACGCTACGGATGGTCTCGGTACGACCCTCTTGGAACTTGCGGGTCGAGGCCGACTCATATGTGGGACGGTTCTTGCCGTACATCTTGAAGTACGCCAGCTGGATGATCATCTGCACATAGGCGTCGGGACTGCACTTGAACTTCTTGATGAGACCCTTGCCGTATCCCTGGTAGGACTGCACCTTGAGCTCGTGAGCGGACATCTGCTGGCGGTGCTCCTTGGAAGCCGCGTCGATGGCCTCGAGCACCTCCGAGTTCAGGTGGAACTCGATGGGGCGGGGGTCGGGCAGGTTGGAGCGCACAGGCTTCTCGGAGAGGTCGATCTTGTTGTTGAAGATGAGGTTGTTGAGGTGATCGTTCAGGCGGTGGGTGGGGCTGCCGTCCATCATGCTGTGCTCACCCATGAACCCGGCAGTGCCGTTGTCATTGATGATAAACTGCAGGGGCTTGTCAAACCAGCGGTTGGTACCATCGCCGTGCCAGTACTGGTGAGCCCGCTCCTCCAGCGTCACAGGGGTGGCATCGTCGAGGCAGACGACGAAACCGCTGGACTCGATGTCGCGCAGAGCCTGCTCGTTGGCGGGGTTGGCTGCCAGCAGCTTCTTCCGAGCATCGGCCCACAGGTCACGGTTGGCGACAGTCAGAACGCCGACCGGGGGAGCACGCTGCGCGATCTGGTAGATGCGCTCAAACTGCTTCTCCAGCTCCGAGACGTCGAGGCGCTCTCCGTTGACAACAAGGGGCACCTTGAAGAACTGGTTCTTGCGCACAACCACAATGTGCTCGTTCTCCTTGGCGGGGTACTTCTGGGGGTAGTCGGCGCCCTCGGCGGGGATACGGCAGCAGTTGAACATGTACTCGTACGAGCTCATGGCCATGGGCAGTTTGCGCATGTACTCGGGCTCCAGGGAGCCATCGTCCACCCGACGCTTGAACTCAAGGGCAGCGGTCGTGATGGACGCCGCACGCTTGACGGGGTTCCGCCGCATACGGTCGTCCTTGTATGAGTAGAAGTAGGAGACGTAGGGAATGACGGGGTCCCGGTAGCCCAGGTAGGCGGCGTGGTTCCACCATTCCGTGAGCCAGTTCTTGATCTTTGGGTCGGCGGCGCGAGCCAGTAGTCTTTCCTGCAGAGGCTGACCCTCACCACCGGGACGAATAAAGGCCTCAACAGCCTTCTTGGTGCGCTCGTACTCGGCCTCGGAAACCACGGCGTGGACGGATTTCAGGTAACGGCGGCCGGTATCTTCCAATGAGGGGACCGGCAAGCGGGGGAGTGATTCTTCAAATCGGAGCAACTTGCCCTTGGAGAGATCTTCTACGTATCCTGCGACAAGTCAGTCCCCGCCAGTCAAGGTAACAAAGGGCGCGCATGTGATTACTCACCCTCAGGGACTGAGGAAGCCTTGCGACGAGGAGCCATGATGGGAGCCTGCCACACACACACACTCAATTAGCTTCTCCACGCTTGCTTTCCCCGGAATTCGCGAATCTTACTGCAGCAGAGCGCGCAAGGAGAGAGTTTGTAGGAGCAAGACGAGGCCGTGTGAGAGTGGTGGACAGACGGCTTCGAGCAGAAGCCGTGAACATCCCTCTGACTGTGAGTGATACAGATGGGGAAAGATAGAGAGGAAGGTCGAGGGAAAGGGTATATTGTGAGGAGCAGAAAAGGGAGGATATAAAATTATGGCGAAAAAGCGAGGAAGGAGTTAGAAGTTTAAGACAGGAGAAGCCAACAGAGAACACACTCGAAAGTTGCCTCGGCTGGAGGGAATCTCGTCTCAGCCGACCGGTGGGTAACTATGGGTACGTAGGCTGGTATATATTACATGTATTTCACCTGGGGTCGGTATTATCCATCACCAAAACAGGTCAGGCATATCGTCATAAGGCCAAACCGCACCATATAAAGGCGCGTGTGACCCACGGAGTATGCCGTAGATACATTCCATACAAGGGGATAACCTACCTTACCTACGGTACCTTTGATAATTAAGGTACCTAGTAGAGAGGTATCTGATGTCCTAATCGGAGAACGGAGCACGGAGGTCTGCGTAGATGGTCGCTCTGGTATTTCCGGTGTATCTCAATAATACAAAGTACGTCAGGTAACGAACAGTTTCCCCGTCCCCAGACTCTCATTGAGCCTCGGCCCGTTGCGGTGGAAGATGGCCGGTTGGCAAGTGGATAATGCACGAATCGGAGTGACAGAGACCGAAGAGTCCAGTTGCAGATGATCCCTGAGCTATATCTATGGCCTTCATGCCGGTTAAGCACCTCTCTACTGGGGAATGATCAAGTGTTCTATCGGAGCACTCCTACGGCCGTGCCGGCCGACACTCAACCCAAGGTGGAATAATGCGGGGTGACCTGCCAACTATACGGTACGTATCATGACCCTAATACAGTGCCAGCATTACCTCTTGGTACAGCATCAGAGCGTTCAATGACATTCAATGATGCGATTCACTCCAACATCATCTCCAAAGTCAACTGTAGACTGTACCTAATGGTTCAATGCCATGACTTGCCTATTTTCTCTTTCTTGCAGGTGCCGTTCACCATTAACTTCCCTTCATCCGTCCCGCTGATCCGGCCTGTCATATGCGTCTAGCTGTGGCCAATCGAAATGGCTGAATGTAAGAGGATGAAACTAGACATGTAGCACGCTGGACCAGGTTTGAAGAACCGATTTCTCGGAATCAGGCGATGATTACGTGACTTGCAGTTCACCAATTGTAACTAGGAATGGATAGTAACGTCAAGAAACCCAACTTCGCGCCTCGCTAGTAGACGAAAGACACACAAGGAGAATAGAAAGTACACACCCAAGATCAATCAAGACATAATAGCTCCACCAAAAGATCCATCACAAACAATACCTAGGCAATACAGTAGAAGATACCCGATCTCATTGAAGGCCCTCAAGAGACAGTCTGAACCGGCGCAGACGCTTCTGGCTTATCCATTGCCCTATTTTGGCGCCGCGGCACTTGAATGCCGCTACGAAGCTGGTCCAGCTTGACCACTCCTGGCCCAGTGCAAATCCGTCCGGACTGCATCAGATTGCGCAATCGCTTTCGTCGAGCCTCGCCGCCGCGTTCCTCGCCGCGACCGACACCCTCGTCAACCCACTCCACGCGGAGCACTTTAAAGCTCATGCCATCGTGGTTGCCATCCCAGGAACGAGACTTCAGCCCAAACAGGACGCTGGATTCATATCGCTCCAGCTTCGGCAGGATCAGGAGCGTGATGTGGAGATCCTTGTCTGTTGGAGGTACCGGCGGAATCCGTGGTCGGTCTCCTGTCAGGCCCATATCCTCCGCCGTTTTAGGCGCGTGTTGATATGCGTCACGAATCTCGAGGTCAAGCATATCCACGTCAATCTCCTCACCCCAAGCACCACGGAAGAATCCAGAATGTATGGCTGCCGCCACCGGGTCTGAATCATCCGTATAGATTCCGGTGCCCCAGAGGGCGCGCCGCGCGCATATTTCCTCGCGGCGGCCCGTGTCGATACGGAAACGAGGCACACGAACGGTAAATGTGCAGTTTTCCTTGCCTTCAAATCGGGGAATCGGGACCGGAGTGGTGGTGTAGCCAAATTTGGCGCTCTCCAAGGTAGCTTTCGCTGAAGGAATATCAATACGTGGAGTATACAGGGTGGACCCAAGATGATGCCGCGGAAGATGGGCTACACTCGAGACAACAGGTTCAACCGTAACCACAGTCCGAGTTTCACGCATCGGCGACATAGCTGCGGGGTTCGCCGTGGAAGCTGTCGGACGTGATGTATGATGGTGATGGTGATGGTGGTGGTGGTGATGATGCCCAATCGACATTCCGGACGCTGCAGCTTCCGCTGGTGTGGATGTGCGGTGGAAGAAATTCATCGAGGACACAGGCCGATGGGATGTACTTGAAGCGGCAGCATTATCTTCTTCAGGCTTGGGGCGGTGGTGATGATGGCTTGGGAACGTTAGATCATATGAAGAAGTAGAATAACCATGAAGCTAGAAGGAATTATCACTTACTGATGATGGTGGTGATGAACATGACGACCGCGCCTGCTAATTGCAGACGTACCGAGTCGATCTGAACCAGGCTCACTATCCGCCTTGCTGTCCTCATCGCGTGATTTTCGAGAACGCTTGCCCGTAGTGGATGCAGGCCGATTGGTTTTAGAATCATCCAGTGTCGCCTCGCTGTTGGTTGAACGACCGGCAATGCTATCGCGCTTGAAGGGACTGACGGTCATCGGGGTGGAGGGCCCACTGCCTGCAGTAGCGGCTGTGACGCCACCCACACCACTTCCAATACCAGAGAAAACGCGGCCCAGTTCACTCTTGATGCCAGCTTCGCCGGCCGGGCCAAGGATCTGAGCCTGCACTCCTTGGACGGCTTGAGGTAAAGGCGACGCACGTCCTCCGCGTTTGGCGTCAAGGCCGACGCCGAGTAGATTTCGATGATGTAGCAGCTCATCACTCCCCTTTCGGCGCTGATCGTCGGATGTGGCAGAATGGGCCAGAGACGACGGCCCCCCACCTGACGATGCCGAGCCGAACAGCCGGGGTTCCGTCTGAAGCTTGCTCAGGTAGGATTGCTGTTCATTCGATGGGGTCGGCTGGTTCTGGCGGGGCTGCATGGACAAAGATGGCTGCCGCGACCCCCCTGGCTGTAATCCGAGAGACTTGGTATAGCTCTGAATGGCGCCAAACCCGAATGCGGAGCCTTGCTCTGGAGCCGGGAAGCGCTTTGTTTCCGGCGAGGGGGGTTGGGAGCGACTGAGATCCCAGGAAGATGCACCAGAATGGCGAGCTCCCGCGGCGTCGTGATCGCCATAATGAGGACCATATCGAGACTGAGAATGAGAGGCTTTCGATTCAGCTTCATGAGCCGCCGCCCGCTCCCTGTCGCGATGCGCTTGCTCTTCTGCGAGCCGATCACCGTACAAGTTCCCAAACCGGCTTTGCTGCGATTCGGGGCCGACGTAAGATGCTGCGCGCTGATGTCCAGACCCTAGCGAATGGTCTCCAGCCCCCGGCGCGGGCGCTGGTCGCGACAGTGGACTATAACCCGCCGATCGCGTCGAGCGCTCGAGATGTTGCGGCTGGCTGTTGGGACGAGGGACGGGTCCGTTGAAGCTCAAGCGGCGCGATTCATGGTAGGACGGCTCTGTGGATGCAGACTGCAATTGGGGCGACGCGTGGGAAGAGCTAGGCTTGTCTGGAAACTGTGTCGGAGGTTGGCCGCGCGATAGGCCTGTAAACCTGGCTTGTTCGGGGCCTGGTGGACCTTGCGATACACTACCAGCGCCTGCTCTATAAGGACGGCCGGGCTGGTTCTTGGAGAAGGATTTTTCGGGGGTCTTTGACCGACGAAACATGGGGTAATCGAGCGTCGAGGGCCTGGCGGGAGCAGTAGGTGGTGACATTGCGCTTGGGGCGGACGGTGGAGGTGCGCTACCATATGGGCCGGAGGATACAGGAGCACGAGAGTAGATTGAAGCCGAGCCTACATCCCGGGCTGGTCGGTCAGCGTCCGAGCCTAGCATGGAAGATATCGACATGCTGCTCCCAGGACGATGATGAGCCATGTTGTTGGGAGGCTCACGAGACATGAAAGGAGCAGGCAGCGATGAATTTCCCGACTGGCCCCGTGATGCATAGTGTTGTGGTGGAGAAGGGGGCGGCATTCGACGGGTTCCTAAGGCACTAGACGCGGATGATTGGTCTTGCGGACCTGTTCAGGCGCGATCAGTCTGGGTCAGCAAAGCGCGTAAATAAATGAGGGATAAACACATGGGTGTGATGGGTGAAAGAGTGAAAAGATGTTCATGTAAAAATAATCAAGAGCAATGATGAAACTTGATCCATCGCAGGCTGTCTTGCACGAGAGCCTCAACGGTGAACGCACCAGAAAACACGGGACTGCCGCTGCTGCCCAAAGACCTCCGACGACCCTGATCGTGCGACCGGGGAGGATTCATGTCGCACACAGAGGAAAAGGTAGAAAACGAAAATAAAATGAGATGAACGTAATGGATAGGAAATGTAATCAAATCGGGAATATGATGACGCGCAATCTAGGGGGCAAGAGGAAAGGGAGAATTGGGGACTGGGGATCGCCGATGGGACAATGATGGAAGTTCCATAATCACAAAAAGGCACTGGGGCGGATGAACCCGTGACTCTGGGCCTGGACGTAGCTCGACTAGCGCTAATCCAGGTCAGGCAAGGGGGTCCTAAACAAGGAGGCTATTCCAGACCAAGACTAGCGCTCCCGTGCCGAGCAGTACGGTAGTCGATCAGGCGCCAGTCGCGCCACAGACGCGACAGATGCAGGACTTGTGATTGGCTGGCGGTGTAGTACTGCCTGGCAGGTACAAGGTCGCACCGTACCGGTAGGTAGTCTGGTATGATCGTTGTCCACGACGTCAGGAGCTAGTACAACCGCCAGTCATTCAACGCTGGCTAGAGGCCATTATGCCTCAGATAACCTTGACATTTTACGCGACGCGACGTTCACGCCTTGAATGGCCTGCGCATGGCGTCCAGCGCTCCACTGCAGAACGACTTGTGGATAAACTGGGGGAAATCATGGAACCATGAGGAGCAAAGGAAAAAAGAGGAAGAAGGGAAAAGGAAGTCAATAGCAGAGCCAGAAGCAAAGGAAACAGTACTGCCTACCTTCGCGATATGTCAGCTGATCATGGCTGTCGTTGCGACTGTGGCTTCGACGGTGACGCTTATTGTGATCCTTCTGCCCAGGATCATGTTTTTTGGGCAATTCATAGTTCATCTGCGGCACTTGATAGCTGTGATTGTCTACCCGTAGCGGCGCCGGCATGTTATATGGTGTTGATGAGGCAGGAGTCGGCGGAGCAGAAGACATGGATGTGGAGTAGGGATAGGCCATTGTGTTCGCAGGTTGACTTGATGGTACACCGTGCTGCTTCAGCGAATCGTAGTGGACCTGTTGAGGGGGAGGCACGCTGTAGGTTGGAGGCGGCTGCGGAGCGGCACGAGGGTCGTGTGAGGCGCCAAATAGCGACGGATATTGAGGAGGGCGCTTCTGAAGATCCATCATCATGGGCGAGCGATGATGATCTCAGGTCAATCGTATCTGAGGAACGGCAGGATGAGGGTTTGGTGCATTCAAAACTAGGTCGCGTGTAGACGAATTCCCTAGGTAGTTGATGGTGACTACTGAGAAATGGCGGTGGAAGCCGATGCAAGCTAGACAGACGTTGCTGTCTCCTCAGAATTCGATAGAATTTTAAAGAGGTGTGTCCGAAGGGAGGATATGCTCTTGGGATTCTCAAGATATCAAAAGAGCATTGTCCATAAGAATGTAACAAGAGGCAGGTGTGCAGGCAGATTGACTGCTGATACTGATGTTGTGGTTGTTGTGGTGGTGGAAGAAGAAAAAGCCCACAAAACGGTGAGCGATAAACCAGAGGAAGGAAAAGAAAAACAACCGGCATGCGACAGGACCCAAGGATTACAGGGAAGATGGAGTCAGAGACAGGGAGCGGGAGCCAATCACTGGGGATGCGGAACTGCTAGTCTGGATAATGGATTATTGAATCCTGCATAATAAATACTAAAATGTAAAAGACTACTAAAAAGGCGGACAAATCTGAATCAATAAAATGGGGCCGTCATGGCAGCGGGGAAAAGTGGAGTACCACTCCATACTTACATAGTAAATGAAGATGAATGTCTTCTACCTCCAGATATCCTATGATAATAAGGTATATGGAGGTAGACATTCTGTAGTATCGAGTGGTGACAATACTATGCTGGTGATGAACCAGATCAATCTCTATACATCAGTCCCCATATGCCCTTCCTATGGACACACTGGCATAAGTTTTCGGCTCATCAAGATAGGTACAGTCGAATACTGTATGATGTTTTCCTCGTTGGGCGCAGACTCCAACATACTTGGCATGGCATGCAGCAGCAGCCCATCGACGTGTCATGTTGACAGTTTGTATACCACATATTTACCTTACTCACCTTTACAAGAAGACACAGTATCTAGCAGGAATCACTTTTGCTGTCTTGATCTACTGATGCATCTGAGTCATTGGAGAAAGAAAAGCCAGAAAATCACATCTACTCGAGTCCTCCAGACATCAAAAAGCTCTATCCCTTTGTTCTCTAGATTAAAGGAATACAATACTGTACTGTAGGATCATCATCTGCGCCAAGGATGCTGTACATACACACCGCACATGCATGCATGCCTACTTATCGACATCTTCCTGCCGGCAATACGTCGAGTTATCAAGTAAGGTACTTGTAGCCTAGCTCTGAACTCTCGGCATGGAGTTTGCTTGCTTCAGCATCGTAGATAGAACTGTAAATTCCGATCAGAAGCCCTTGCATGATTGTCAAAGAGGGGAAATATATAACAACTAATTAACTTGGAAGAGAAGCCTGCACAACATTTCCTTGCAAGAAAGAGGTTGGTGTTACACTGGCCCTTTTCGCGTTATACATTCGCAGAAGCAAGGAGTTATACACTCATCTGTCTCAGGTTCTTAAGGTGCCATTCCTCACTGTGGGGGCTTGATTGAGTTTCTGCATGACGATATGCTTTGAACTGTGTAGTAATTCATTCCTACATGGAGACTCTAATCTAGAAATCCAGGTACTCTTCTGCTACCTTCACCGTCCCCCAAGGACGAGTTCCACCACGGTCGCTCGCAATCTTTCTGGTCATTCTCAATTAAATCAACCCCTTCCTGAGCTAGTACTCGCAAGATCAACCTGCGTAATCGTCGCGGATGACATTGGATGCCGGTATACCGTGCCAGCAGTCCATGCTGGTGAGCAGCACGCACTTGCGCCCGAATCAACTGAATCTGCTCTTTGGAGAATCGGCCCCGACGGGGGAGGCCGACAGATGCTTGGAAATCGGCAGTTGCCATAACAGTCCTTGTTGTCGAGTTCCCTGCCAGAACGCCTCTTGTAGCATGGTTTGCAGCTTGGTTGTCGCCATCAGTTCCCTCACCACCTTCTGCGTGATGCACTCTAGTCAACGATTCCAGTGAGGTGTCAAAGAAGATAACGTTTGATCCTGCGACATCGGGTCGATCCAGATAAGATAGGTCTTTGCTTGAAATCACGACGGTGACAGGTCTCAAAACTAGCCGTGTCCCGTTCTTGTATGATAGGTACCTCCTGTCCTCAACTTCTCCAACCGTGACATTAAATCCGGCCACGCCGCTTCAGTAGGAGATTGTAGCTCCAGGAGAAGGATCGAAGAGCGCACAGCTCCCTCCTCGAGGAACCCCGATGAGCTCGCTTCCGCAGAGCGAACAGGGAAATTCAATCGAGAATTCATGGCGTCCAGCTTCTCTAGCATTGATTTGAAGTATGCATTGCTTAGCACTTCCGAAACGCTAACTGATGTCGTTGAGTCGTTCGCCCAAAGACTGCCATTCTGCATCCAAATGTTCACCTTGATCCCAATGCATCTGACAGCAGAAGAGTCTCCCGTCCCATCTCGGACGGCTTGCAAATGATACGCAGCGCATTCTGCATGGCTGTGACTAAATCCAAAGACCTGTCCGTATTCTCTGAGCTGCGCATGAGGCAACAAATGTATGAGGCCAAGAGGCAGTATAGATAATTGTATCACAATCCTGTTTCCGACAACTTGGTCAGCCCAAGTTTCATCCAAGTTCATGACATAGTTAGGGGAAACGAGCGTGATTATCAACAACAAACAAATCCCTCTAAACAAGCGCTCTCCCCAATTCTTCCTTGCCGTCACGTAGCAGTCGTGTATAAATTCGGACAATCCCGGACAACAATAAGTTGGAGGGGCACGAAGTGGGTGGTCTTCCAGCAGCGTCCATGAATACCAGTCATCGTAAGAGATGTCCACAACAGTCTCTTCGGGAAATTCGAGGCCATAAGGCGCATGGTCGGTAACTGAAGGTGCCATTTACCGTCTCTTTAATCTCGATCAGCGGTAATGCATTGACCGCGACTGTCTGCGATGATCGACGTCACGCTCGTTGAAGATAATGTAGCGGTGAGGGAAATAGATCGATATAGATGCAAGAAAGACAGCCAAATCGCCCTCGAGAATCCGAAGTAACACAGAAATCGAAAAGCGATCCATGGCCTTGTGCGACCATGGCGTACGTTGGACTAAATATGAGGATGAGGACTTCCAGAGAGCACGCAATTGCTGGTCTGGATGGCTCACGGTCTAAAAGACGGCCAGTTAATCGGCGTCGACGTTAGATTGTTGATCCGATGACGAGATAGCAGATGACCCGCATTGTTATCGACCGACCGCTGGATTAAACAGAAATCCAGATATGCTTGCGCACTGCTAGGACTAGAGCTAAAAGAGTTGCTGCGCTGTGCCTGACTCGCTGCTGTTGTACTGTGGATAGTTCTGGGCACTTTTCCGGAATCAGAGCTTCAGGGACGATCAGTTATTTAGCGTCAGGGGGAGTGGCTCTAGACAGTTACATTTGCTGTGTTACAACAGCAGTTTCGCAGTTTCCTCCATGCCATCGAGTTCATACACTACACACATACACAGCTCAGCAACATATAGATTCGTTGCGGAAATCCAGTCAGTGGATGAACTAACCCGAGGTCATAAACAAAGTCAATTAAGCAGTGAGATCATAACATTAGCATTCTATCTATGTGAGTATGGGTCATGAATATAGACTTATTATCATTACAATTATTCTAGAGGTGGAATCTTCGCCAGATCCATCATATCAAGCAGCCATGCTGCGAATGCGTGCTCCGTAAATATAAAGCAGCAACGGGATAGGGATCATCAATGCTCCCACACATCCAAGCAGTGTGCAAGCCCATTCCACACCTAATCCATCAAACTGTATCAAATCCAGTCAGTTTCACGATCGGAAAGCTCGAGTTTCGGTGACTGACCATATATGTTGCAAATAGTGGGAAGACGCCTCCCGCGACCGACCGCAGGAACGTGTGTGCAGCAACAGCTGATGCCGCCCTGATGATACTCAGTCAGTCCATGCATCGTCATACTTGACAATATTGGGGGTACTCACTTCTGAGGACGAGCCTCGACCAGATAAGCAAGCGAGGGAAGAAACATGGTCAACAATCCAAATCCTGTCAGCAGCCCCGAGACAGTCGGCACAATCCAGTGGATGCTCTGCTTGTATCCCGACCATCCCAGCCAGAAGAGCCCCGCAGAGAATGCAACTGCACCTGGAATAGCCACAGGAAGACGCCATTCTGGCATCATCACGCCACCGGTTTGCTCCAGCTTGCGCAGAATCCAGGGCTGGGTCGCTGCGATGCCAACGGCGCCTAGGAGCTGGCCGACAATAACCCCAAGATAGGGTAGCCCACCCACACCTGGATTCATACCATGGATCCTCTGAAAGATAATCGGGTATGCGGTCAAGAAGAGATAAAGCAGACCGTACACGAAAGATGCGAAGACGCACATGCACGTGACGATCGGATCGAGAACGAGCATCTTCAGTGGCAGGGCGAGGTAGTCGGTCAGTATGGATCTAGCATCAAGACGCAGCTCGTCGTGCTTGGCGTGAAGTGACCAATTGCCAGTTTCGCGGCGCAATCGATCGGCTTTTCGAGCTAGGATTACGGGCTGGTACGTCTCCTCCAGGAAGACGACCAGAAGAAGGAGCACGGCGCCTCCTAGTATACCTGGAATATAGGCCGTCCAGCGCCAGCCCAGCGAGGAGTTCATTACCGTGAAGCCTCCCACAAATGGGGCAACTAGAGGGCCAATGAACACCATCAGGCAGAACATGACGATGGCAATCCCCCGCTGCTCCGGCGAGAACATATCCGCAAATGATGCTCCGGCGAGTGTGAGCGGACCAGAGCCGAAGAATCCAGTGAAGTATCGAAGGATGAATAGTGAAGGGAGGTCTTTGGAGACGGCGGTTGCAAACGAGAATATCGTGAAGCCGAACATTGAGATTACAAGAGGCATGTATCTGCCCTTGACCTCCGAGAAGGGACCGAAGAACAACGGACCGAATGCGAATCCGAAGACGTAGAGGGATATACCGAGGGTGCATACCTCCCGGCTGATACCATATAGGTACATCACTGAGGGCATCGCGGCGGAGAAGATACTACTTGCAAAAGCAACAACCATTGTGCTGAGACCGAGTATGGCCGAGATATAGACCCTGAAATCCCATTCATGTGTCAGTCATCCAATGTCCAGAGAACCAAAGACGGACTCGACATACCTTTTCCTCATGGGCCAGTTGAGGGGGTTAAGAGGATCATCCGGGCCGTCAAAGTCGACATACTTTTCGACAGCCATCTCGTTTGGCAGGTATTCAACACTATGTCTGGAATACTGGTTGTCAGGGTTCAACCGATGTCGACACTAGATATAATATATTTCGATGCCAAACTCTAGAAGCGAGAACACAGGACACAGACAAGCAGCCCAGCGCCCAAGCCAGCTTCTTAAACCCCCCTACCCACTCATCACAGAATCCTCTAGCATGCCATATCCAGCCCTATTCTTCATAAAGACCCAGCACAAAAACCGATATAGCATGATACCATCCTGCCAAGATCTGCACAGCGAAAATCTCCACCCGGCATAAGAAGGGCCCATCGGGCGTCTACATGTCCCGAGTGGATAACTGGATAGTCTGTGGCCTATTTCGTCATTGCAAACGCTTTCTCATTGATTCTGGCGTGTTGGTTTTTCATGTTTACTCATCACTACCAGAAGTGACGGTGTTGTGATTCCGTCCGCTCGGTTTGCCGAGGCATATTCGGGGCGATTATGTCGACTGATCCGACGGAGAACGCACACATCCACGCATACATATCACCAGAGGATACCCCCTTCCGATTTATTAATCAATATTAAAGATAATGTAGACGAGCAAATGCCGGAAGAGATCGGCAACGTGGCAGGGTTTGGTTAGATACTTATTGCATTAGAGTCAGTCGTTAGTGCCTGACGCCGGCCTCTGCGGTTCAGTACTTCATGTTGGTTTGTCATTGCTAATGTAGCCGGTCAAGAACATAGCAGCGGATACGGCTTGCTACAGCAGAAGCCAGGAATATTCTAGCACTGTCCGACCACATGTAGGGTTCGGGCTTGTTTGCTTCGATGGGATTGCGGATCGCTTGAGATGGATTCATGATCGTATCAGCCCTACCACGCAGTACAGAGTGGGTAGTTACCACCAACGCTGAGAAGGCTAGAACTTTGCAGAGATGTAGAGGCTGGAGACTAGAGACTAGAGAGTAAGCTGATGGGCGCTGCAGTGTGCGTTTAACGGTCGGCCCGATTGGACGGGCAAATGGTCTGACGGGCTGACGGATGTATTGACAGCATGCATAAGAGCCAGCTAAATGCAGTAGCAATCTTCGCTGAGCATCAGATGATTCCGATGGCTGGATGGATGGATGCTTGGCTGTATGATAACGGGTATTGTTGCTACTATTATTTTATTGTACGTTGATACTATTGTACATACGGCGGACTATTTGTACAAAAGGGACTTTTGGTTTTTTTACAATGATTACATCTCACCACACTTACCCTCCCTACAGTTGCACGCACTGCATAATATTGAATTCTCACATAGTAGGGATATCAAATCGAATCGAAGAGTATCAATATCGAATTCTTATATAGTAAGGATATCGAATCGAATAGTATCAATATCGAATCCTCATATAGTAGGGATATTAAATTAAATAGTAGTAATATATAATTCTTATAGAGGCATAGTAGTAGGATATTGAATACCACTATACTTATATATAATCTGAATATGTAGTATAAGTGGTAGGGTATACCCTAAGTCTTAATTCTAACTACTCTGTACATAGGGGCACTAACTTAGTATATAAGGATTTAATATTCCTACTATATAAGAATTCGATATTGATACTATTTTGATTCGATATCCCTACTATATGAGAATTTGATATTGATATTATTCAATTTGATATTGATACTATTCGATTCGATATCCTTACTATATGAGAATTCGATTCAATATCCTTACTATATAAGAATTCGATTCAATATTGATACTATTCAATTCAATATCCTTACTATATAAGAATTCGACATTGATACTATTTGATTCGATATCCCTACTATATGAGAATTCAATATTGATACTATTCGATTCGATTTGATATCCCTACTATATGAGAATTCGATATTGATACTATTCGATTCGATATCCTTACTATATGAGAATTCGACATTGATACTATTTGATTCGATATCCCTACTATATGAGAATTCAATATTGATATAACTTTTAATGTTGTGTGGAGGTAGTGGCCCTAGGTAATACATGC